GCCTTGAGTTTCTGAGTTTGGAAAGTGCCGTCTTGACTTTTTACAAACACTTCACTTTCACCCATATAGCCCAATATTCGCCTCTTGTCAGTAACATGGTAGCCACACGCTAAACACTCTTTAACTTTTTAGGCCAGGAGGCTACATTCAAGCATGAGGGAGGGAGAAACAGGAGAGTCGAAAATTTTCTACCGATGAGAAACGGAAGATCAAAGCATGTAAAATATAATAATAACCAGTGCAGCCAGTACAGAGTGCCTGACGAGCCCAGTTATAAGTACACTGTTAAGACTTGACTGCACACCGTGTTTGCTTCCTCCGAAACAATAAAGTTCCATTGGAGCAGCCTTTTAATGCCTCTGTCTTTCTCTTGCTAGCAAAGTTGACCTAGACAGTAAAGCTAGTTAGCTACCGGCTACGACACAGAACCCGACATGTTAACCAGAGGTGTCTTTACCATGATTCCATCCAATGAGATGACAGTGCTAGCAGCGGGCCGCCGCTTCTCTGAGTTTGAGTCGCCTGGTGTACATGAACTGGAGATGCCAAAAGGATTCTTTGCACTTATTGCTAATTTGCTCATATCAGCACGCTAAATCCCCAGAATAAAAAAGCAAACATAATAGTTGCTAATTCAGCATTTTGGGATCATCACTGTGAGCATGTTAACATGTTGATGTGAAGTTTGTGGCGCTACTGCATTCTCACAAAATCGTTCTGTATCAGACTCTTGTGCTTTATTGTTGTGCCTTTGTCTAACATTGCTAAGTCAAAGTAGCACTATGCTAACTTAACTTTATTTTCCATTTTTAAAAAAGAAATGGTAGTCAAATGAAGAGGGCTCTGATACAGATATATCACAAAGAAGTAAAAGGCAGGCCCAGTTATAGTCCACAATATTAAAGCAGATAAACCTCTGGTGCTTCCAATATAAGGTGGATGCTTGTAGTTTTATACTGCTTTAAATTAATAAATTCTCTATATGCGTACTTATATGCTCTTTGTTGAATTTGACTCATTCCTGCTCATTCATTTTGAGTTTCATTCTTTCTTTCCTATTGGGCCTGTGTTGCATATGTCACTGAGACCAAATTAAGTGTTTTCTTCCACTGAAACACTGAAGGGTTTTATTTAGAAACAGTAAGTGTTGCATTTGTGTTAACAGCATCATGCAGAAATCAAAAATCAACTTTCTGTTGTGGAAAATTGCCAAATATGATTAATTACACGTCTTAGAGGAAGTCACGAATAAAAGCCAGTTTAAAATATACGCCTGTCACATTTTGCAGTTGAGAAAAATAAAGACCTCTAACCTTTTTAAGGAAATATTCTATTTATGAAAAAGTTTTTAATTGTCTAAGAACATTACAAAGAAAAACTGATAGCAGAAATTTAACACTTCACACACAACACAAACGTAAAACAACTATATCTGCAGAACACTGCACTGATGGAACCTCAGCCGCTTGCATTACCCACTATCAGAGGGTGTGGAGCGCCAAATCAGTCATGCCGCCTGCAGTGCAAACACTCAGTTAAAGCATATTATCCTCATAACTGGCATGAATTAATGCTGGAGGCATATTATTAGACTCCCCTGGTCACCTTCTCATACTGTCTGCAACTAGCCACTACAACAGAAAGTACAAAACACACACACACACGTCAGCTGACACAGCATTATTTCTGTAGCACACAGTCCCTATCACAACCCTTAATGTGCGTGTGTCTCTCTCTCTTTCACTTTTCCCCTCTCTCTCTCCAGTCAAATGTCAGTAAGTGAATGCCAACTCTATTAATATTTCAGAACCAATTAAATAAAAGCACACATCATGCATGTTTAATGTTCGCCTGCTGAGAGAGCCAAATTTGCCATTCTGTCCTCTACAGGTAGGCCAGGCTGGTGATAGATAGCCTCGTGTACAAATGCTGTGTTTAATGTTTTTGGTTTTTTTTAACAAACTATTTTCTCCTACTGATCTGGCTGAATGACCTAGAACCTATTTTCTGTCCCAGCTCCACAGACTCTAGACAGGATGACCCTGTAAGCACAGTAACCCAGAATTTTCTAGACTTTCTGAACTAGTAACAGGACCCGTAGAAGTGCTGTCATGTTCTCTAAAGAATGAATAGACATTTGGAACATGGACACAGACCAACACCTGAAATGCAGTTCTGCACTGTTTGTTCTCACATTGCAATAGCCAGCTTGTAGATAGCTCTCTGTCAAACTCTAATATGTATTATCTTACATTGTCTACAGCCGTAAAGGGACCGTGATGCAGTCAGAAGGAATGTAAAGCAGACGCCATACAGATCTATAGTGCAGTGGTTCCTAAGTATTTTGGCTCCTCACCAGCTCTTCCATTAGATTCCTCTTCGATTCTGGTAAGGAGAATTTTGCAGAGCTATGTCAAGCTTTCCTTGTAAATGCTGGGTATATAAAAAAATGGACATAAAACACTGTAGCATAGACAAGCACAAACCCAAGCAAAAAGAGAGTCCCAATAGGCCAAGACGGATATTTAGGCTTTTCTGACTGAGGTCAGGATTGGCTTTTTTTTTGCTACGCAGCACGGTCTAAGTTTGTGATTTAAAGCAACAACAATCAATATGACAATGACGATGATTCAAATAACTATCAGCTCAAGGTTATGGTCATAGTGACAAGTCAATTCATCAGATTTCCCTCTTCAGCTCTTCAGAACCTTTTAGCGTCATTCAGCTCTTTGTTTGGCCCAAAACTTGACGGTTATTGTTTACAGTGTTGTTTTTATTGTGACAAAGCACGTGGGCATTTTTTAAAAGAGCAATATCTGCTTAGCATCAAAAGGCAGACAGAGAAAAGCATTTTTCACAACTGCTGTTAACTCATGTGAAGTCTCACAGGGCCATTCTGTACAGGGTGTACATGTTGCCCTTTAGACATGCCAGTTGCCCTTGTGTCCTACCTATATTAAGTCGATGACTCCCAGCTCTAGCTATCATTCAGTACTAACAAAATTACGAGAATCTTAATACTGCACAGTTCCACTTTAATGCTTTTAAGGACTTGATGATCTCTCATTTCCTTGTGACCAGCAAGCATTGAACAGCTATTTTCAGTCAGATATGACTAGCTAGGTGGCCCGGCTCACTATTTTTCATACTCGTTTAGAAAAACACTGCAGTTTAGAAAATTAAATTACCTTGTGGGCTGATGCAATTGCACTCAGCTACATGGCTGCGTACCAACACTGAGCAAAGTACATCAGTGTTAATTAAGCAGAGCACAAGAGGGTGGCAGTATAGCGAGGATCAAATCTGTAAGCTCCAAATGTTTAAATAACTAACTTTTTGAGAATCTAGCAGAAAGGGCAAGCTACTTCTGTGATGTTGTCCTATTAAGCACTTAGAAACGGGATTAAGTTTGAGCGGCAGGTCTTTCCCTGAAGGTAGACAATGGCTGTGCGTTAAACGGCCGGACCGGCACAGTGAAGCAAACATCCCTGAAATGTTACAGCGAGCGGACGTCTTACTCAATGTTAATTACTATTACTGTAAAGGAAAAAGAGTTTGTTTGGAGAGGAATGAATTGGCTGACTGACAGGCTGATTAACATCCAGCAACAAATCTGTGCTCTGTGTCTGTCTGCCCATAATTCTCCCTTCATCCCGTTTTTTCCCATCACTGGCCCTCTCTGTCTTTACTTCCTGCCTAATTATCTGCATTAGCTTAATGACTAGGAGCCACTGAAGCTTCTGAGTACACCATGTATGTCTTACAGTCTGTGTGTTCACAGAGAGCAAAACACTTTTTATGTTCCACTGCTTTCAGTCTCTGCAATAGATATACGGTTTGCCAGAGACTTTTTAAAGCAAAGTCAATTATACGACTGCTCTTACCCTCTATTCAGCGACAAACTGCTGAGCAGCTTTGTCAGTATTGATAAAAAGCATTTCCATTATCCCAACATTCAGTCGCCAAATCATATTAAACAGTTTGATGAATAGAATTCAGTCAGATATTAATTTGTGAAGGCATAACCCTGAACAGCTGTGAACTTTGGGAGGCCTCTTCTGCCCCCTGCAGTTCACAAACTGTAACTACATGCATTGAAAGCAGCTCAAACTGGAGATTTGACAGAGCTCCTCCAACTGCATTCTAATGAGCACACAAGATACAGACACAGCAAGTTTAACATGGGTGACATGAAACGGGGTAGATAAGATGGGTCATAACCTACAATTTATCGTAAAGAGCATGATTACATATCGACACTGCAGTTGCACAGAAGACTATATGTGCTCGCGCCACATCCATGCAAGACCATGTGTGCAAACACAAGTGGGCACCATCACAGACACATTTCAAACATTTTTTAAAAAATACACAAGGTCTGTATTCACATGGTCCACAGAAACAAAACAACATAATGTTTTGGTTGTGGTTTCAAGAAATGAATGCAGCACAGAAAGTTTGAGTAGATTTGTCTACTAAAGGTACTACATGTAGCATTTTTAAACGCCAGCAAAGTAAGTATATCATTGTAAAATTAATTATGTTATAAGGTATAGCTACCATCAAAGACACACTTTAGAAGTCGTGTCGTTTCTTAAAGATAACATTAAAATGGTCCAATCCCTCCACACTGCCTCCCCTCCAGTTGTGGCCCTTTTTCTAAAAATATAAACATGCTCACTTTTCATTCCTTCTGCCATCTGCTGCTTAGACCTCTGGCACTGTAGCAGTAATTGCACACAGGGATCGCACAGAGTATCCTATTAACGTTGACTTACTAACATTTTGTTAATGTTTAAATGCTGCATGGAACACCTTACAAAGTTTCTGTGCACTGTTAAAACACGATGTTTGAATTTCACCCAGTACAGCGAAGACATTCTGCAGATGTGTCTCACAGAAACGCAAAGAAACCTGCATGCTCATTTAATCAGAAGTTTACAGATGAGAAACGACCAAAAACACAAACAAATGAAGCTACGAACGCATGCCAGGATTACCTGGTAGTAGGCGTGGCTTTGAGAATAGAGAGAGGAGAAAGGTGGGGCTGGGACTTCATTCAGCCTCTCTCCCTCTGGGTGAGGCCACGCCTCGTCATCAAAGGAAACCTCAGGTGATTCTACCTACAATGTACAGACATGAGCTCAACAAAGTTCGACACGCATACAAACTAATATGTTTAGGTGCACTGCGCTCTGATCATTGCACAGGTGTAAGACCGACATATACTTTTATCTAGAATATATTTCCTTCTTAATGATGGTTGTGCAAAGCAAAGGGAGAAAACAGAAAGTACGAATGGTCACATCTGTGTTCAATGGAAATTAAAATAGCTGAATCTCATTCATAGTCAATGATCATTAATGTAAACTTGGCAAAAAAAGTATAGAAATTTGTGTTTGGTGGATTATTTCTTTGTTGTAACAATGTTTATTGGCTACAAAATCCTATGCTGTTGAAAGCCTGTTTATTTCCCCTGAAATGGAGCCACATTTGTAAAGAAAATGCATTTGTGGGTTGTGCCAATGAAAAACTTGCCACACACACAACAGCCTGGCACCTGCTCCTCATGATGGTCATCAGCTCAGTCATATCCCGCTGTGGGATGTCATCCCATTCCTTGACCAGCATTCAAGTCAACCAGTGTGGCTGTGCTGGTCACTCTGGCACAAACAGCACAGCCAAGCTGATCCCACAAGTGTTCAGTGGGGTTGAGGTCTGACCTGCAGACAGGCCACTCCATCCTCTCCATTCACAAATTCTGCAGTTAGTCTGATAAATCCCACACTGTGGAGGCAAGCATTGCCATCTTGGAGGACATAGTTCGGTCCCAGACTGTGGAGATATGGGACTGCCACTGGTTGCAGAGCCTCTTCTTGATATCTCTGCATTGCGATTGCTACCAGTGAGAACACGCCTCGTTTTTTCATTGAGGAAGATTCTGCCCCACACCATCACTTTGACACTATGATCCAACTGCTGTAGTCAGAATCTGGACGTAACAACGCTGAACATAACATTCCTCCAGATGTTCAGGTTCTAGTGCACATGTTACCGACACCAGCGCAAAAAGGCTTGATGGTGTAGACCAGTCATGGCACCAGAATCTCAGAACAGATTAAACTGTTTGGCATTGACAGACAAGATCTGACAAGTCTCACACTCAACACTGCTCAAACCAAAAATGCATTGTTCTTAAAAATGTGGCTTCATTTCAGGGGAAATAAAGTTTCCAATCATATCATATCATATCAAATTTATTTGTATAAATTTCTTTTTGTGCTAAGTTTATTTAATTTAATATTATGGTGAAAAAGAGGTATGATAAATTGTGAGCTTGGAATATTTACAGGAAGATATTATATTAATAAATCAGTATGTCTGTGTGCGTGTGTGTGTGTGTGTGTGTGTGTGTG